GTTTAGCGGACATACATAGGTACACAGCGTTAAACGATGTTTTATTGATAGTTTCATGATCTGGGGCTTTTTAGGCTCATTAAACACGAGCCGAAGATGCGTTCGAACTCACTAGTCACGTCTTGAATGTGTTCGGCAGTTTTCGTATTCATTAAACACGGTATTTTCATAGGCACTCTACCTGAAATGAAAGAAGTAGAATAAACAGCAGCTGTAAGTGAAAGTTTTGTTCACGTACTTTCGAAACTTGGATAATTATTATATGGATTTAATTTGAAATCATAGAAAAAGCATATACATAGTATGTAAACTTCTCCAAACACTCATTTTTAAACACTCACTTAGCTTCGCTGCGCTCGTGTTTAAATAAACTCGTGACTAAAGAGACGTTTATAAAGCTTGTTACATCGCGATTTAAAACAGGTGATTTAAAAAATATCATTGATTTAAATCATTTTTGATTTTTTTTAATTTTCTTTTTCAATTACGAACATATAATGCATGCCTTTTAAAGGCAATTTAATTCAATAAGGGTATTACCTGCGTACCGCCGCAATTTACGTAAACCTTTCTGGGACACCGCGAAGGCGAAAGATCCATGGCAATTTATAAGTGCAGTCCGATTCTTTTACCTTTGGCAGTGTCGTAAAGTAATAGCAAAAAGACATCTGGGATGTTTACGTTTATGTCTTCCAACTCACTGCGGCTCTAAGCGGTTACTACAAAGAATGTGCGTATTTCGCAACAATGGGTGTAGACCGTTCAAGCTTTCGCGAAAAGAAACTGACCATGGTTTTACGACACTTTCCCAAAATTAAAAGCACCAGACTCTTGGAATTTATAGGATTTTTTCGTCAGCTGCAATTTACATGTGCTGACAGAGCCGCACATTTGTGATTTGTGAATGTCTGAAAATACGCAGAAAATGAAAATTACAAAAACTAAATACAATATAAAGTTTTTCAAAACTGAATAAAAATAATTACCTAAATAAAAGTGTAAACTTAAGTCACATAACTTTTGATTTTTTTGTTACTACTTTTAAATTTTGAATTATTGTGGGTAACCGAAAAACTAAAAGAATCAAAGAAAAATCAAAAACAAAAATAATCAAAACAATAAAAAAAATCGTAACCGAAAAATTAAAAAAATCAAAGAAAAATCAAAATTATTAAAAAAATCAAACAAATTAAAAAAAAATCAAAAAAATCGTGATTTAAAAAAAAATCATTGACTTTTGATTTTTTTCCAACCCTGCTATTTTACGTGAGGTGTGTTTTAAGAGCAAATGTTACTGTAGGAACACGTCATAAAAATTAAAGTTAAGTGTTATCCAGTTAGCTGTGAAATTTAAACAGTTTTTCAGATGAGTTATGTTTCAATAATCATTTTGAGAATGTTTCGTTTTCTTTTCAAAAGTACAAATTTTTAAATAATAATATTCGACAAATTAGTTGATGGTTTTAAAAAAGATTGAATAACTCTTTAGTTTAACACACGTTAAAAAGAAAAAGAGACAAAAATCAATGTCTGGAAGAAGTAGGTTGACGTTAATTTATTGTCACAGTAAGCAGTCGTTTTTTAGATGTTGTGAAATCGAATTCCAATAAAAACTAGAATAACTTTGCTAAGAATATTACTTCATACATAAAATATTTTTCATACGGTTTCAAAAGAAAATAAAACTTATTCTTAAGGTGAAACTCTTTTATGACAAACTAGAAAAAAACGAAAAGACATACGAAACAAAGTGGATCTGGCAACTAATAAATCACATATGCTACTATAACATAGTACAATATTAAAATTTTAGAGTTTTTATTTGGTTTAAACATTAAATATTAAAAACACAGTGGGATACATTTTGATTATAAAGAGTGACAAAGTAGGTACTTTCTCGTAAAGTCTTTCGCTATTTAAATACATCACGTATATATATACTAAATACATTTACTAAGTTTCCTTTTAACTGAATAACAAAGTGAAGAATAGTGGACTTGATTGCTTTATAGTTAGGTATAGGTTTTTTGCTTAAGTCAAATAAGACAAGAGAAATCCGATCTTGTATTCTCCGTAGGTTCCATGAGTGTTCAGTTCTGTCATTGACTTTGTAATTTACCATCTATAGGTATACTTATTCACTGGTTCTGTTCAGTACTAAAGAATGAAGAAAGTACGCTACCAATAATACAGATTATAATAAATTCCAACACAAATTTGTGTAATAACTCTCTATGATATTGTTACGATATACGGGTGAATAAAAATTGGCGTGGGTAAAACTCAACAATTTATTTACACGACTAACTAACAGCGATTATAACTAACGTGACACAACTTAAATGCATTCGTTCCTCGACTTCTTGACTGAATAATCCCGTTCCCGTAGGTAGCCTCCATTTAAACGCATGTTCCCTTCTCGATGTTCCCAACCGAGAACTTTCTGGAATTCATCTCGACTCCCGCTTCTTTCTTTAGCCAATGCCGCTTCGAGTGTTTTCTCGACGCCGCAATCAAAACTTCCGGTAAACCGCTCCATATATTATTCGCCATAAATACCAGAAATCTCGGGAACCCATAGGCGTCGTACAGTAAACTGAATTAAGTACTTATTACGCGTCTTAATAAATTTTACATTAAAAAAGATGCTACAATCATAGTTACATTACACTTTACACTTAAAGTAATGAGAAGTTTACTTTTATTTTCTAGCAGTGTATACCTATGTGATGACAGAGTTATAATAAGTATCACATAGCTTTAAGAAAAAGCTTTTTTTTTACAACAAAATTCTTTTGAATTCTTTTACCAACTACTAACGTAACTATTTAAGGAAACGTGATTTTTAGGTACATGTCAGAATTGTCCTGATATTTATCCTATTGTTGCAATGCACATATTTTACAATTATTAAAAATTTAAAACAAACCGTCACTAGAAATTTATTTTTCAGGTGACATTTTTGGAGTTTGTACGCAACCACAAGTAAATTTTGAAGCTTCGGTGAAGTTCCAGCACTACATTTTGCATTCTCTTCATCTGTATCCATTTATATGGCTACTAAGATAACAATAATTCATTATTTTTTGTCACATTAATCAAGGTAATATCTTCTTCTGTGTTCTCCGTCAGGTAAAGTGCGACTTCAAATTTTGGAGCGTTTATATATGAATCATGGTAGGTTTATTTTTATTGGGATTTATGTGCAAAGATGTGTTGTGTGGTCACCTAATTATAATACACACATAAGATCAATTGAGGAAGTGCAACGTCGTTTTGCTAAATCTGCATTATTCTTGATGGATGGTGTTTATCCAACTCCAGGTTACCCAGAAGATTTACTTCTTAAACCTATAAACCTCCCTTTTCTGTCTTGCAGGCGATCGTATTTTTCTGTAATATTCTTATTTAAATTAATTCACTACCTAATCGACAGTCCAGACCTACTAAATAATATAAACTTTGCAGTTCCAGCATTTAGTAAAAGGCTTCATAATATTTTCTTTAAATCAAAGTTCAAAACGAACATTCTATCAAACTCTATCTATCGAATGATTACAAATTACAAAATATTGAACACGCTGTAGATATTTTTAGATTAAATTCCTTGAATTCTTTCATCAATTTTCTTGTTTGTTAATATTCATTACTTCTAACCTGCCCTGTAAATGGAATTTTCTCCCTTGGGCAAATTAATTAAATAATAATAATAAAAAGGTTTGAGAACCACACTTTCAAGTGTCCTTAAATTTTAAAATTAAATTCCTTGAAAGCGGTCCGTTTAACAATCTACCTGTTCAGGTATTGAAACAAATACGGTCCTGGAAAGGTAAGCGTGGCGAGTAAGCTTGATTGACAGTTTTAACCTGGGTGCAAGTAATCCCAAGTAATTGGAAATTTTACCTTGCAATTCCCATAATTGGATTCATTTGCAATTATTATCTTTCGTCGTACTTTACAGGTTGAGCTGAAGTTATCAGAAATAGTTATACCTACTGGACGCAAACATTTAAGACGTTTATGGCTTCACACCAATTTAACTCCCATTATAATTCAATAAGCCGTCACAGCCGGATGTCTTAAACCCGTTTACTGATAACGTACTACCTGTAAAGACCTTTTCTGGTAAAAGCACAGTTTCGGCAGTTATTTTAACGGCTTCCTCCTTAATTATGTCAATTGTTGCACTACTAAATTTTGGTGTCACATTATTTCTTCTTATATTATTTTTCATTTGAGACCAAATTAGTTCTATGGGGTTAAATATACAATGGTACGGCGGAAATCTAACCATTTTAAATCCACGTTTTTACGCTATATTATCTATTTTACATTGTTTTTCAAATTTTCGAGTGTGTAACACTTATAATACTTGTTTCTTTGTGTAATTTTCTTCAAAGTATAAATCATGTTCTGTAAGGAAATTTTGAATTTCTTCTTTCTCAGAACTCGTGTTGGGTATTTTTTCAAATGCAGTGAAATGCGTTATCTAACACAATCACACTATTTGGGGGTAAGTTAGGAAGAACTGTTTATCACACTTCTTGGAAATACTTAACGACTGGACTTTCTTCAGTTACCTGATTCTTATTTTAGTTAGTAATTTAATATATCGCACTTCTGTTAAATCCAATATATTTCAATTATTTAAGTCATACCGCTTATTGTATATATCAACCCCTTAAAACTAGTTGAAAGATTGGTGGAGGCGCCGGGCATCGCATTTTTTTTTACTAAATATTTGAAATATTTTTGAACTCGCCACAAAAAGAAATGATAAAAATAAGCTATTAATATTATGTAATACCTAGGTATACGTAGCGGTTTTCGTGTCCATATTTTGTTTTTCTGTACATTCTGAAATACAGCACCAAATTTACAAAATTGTGTCAACAGGCCATGAGTGCACTTCTGAAAACAAACATTTTAGACAAAAGTCTTCGTTAGAGTTCATAGAGAAACTACTAATTAAATTTAATGAAATTAAACTTCTTCCAGAAATGCATGTGATGGTTCAAGATAGTTACAAAACAGTGTTACAAAAAGAATGTAGAGTGTCGGTATTCAATTCAATTACATTTATTCAATTGAACGTTAACAGATGGAACTTAAGATATTTACAAAATGGGGTTCAGATGGGGGGTAGAGTGTCGGTATGCCGACTTGGGTAGGATAAAGGGTTTTGTGGGGGTGGAGCTTTAAAGACTTCTACCTCCAGGTATGGGAGTAACCCATTTCTCGTTGTATGTACAGCCTTACCTAATTTGTACACTATTTATTCATTAAAAATTTTCGAATACTTTTCTAAAGATTTTATTTGGTGTTTGAAGTTGGTACTTATCAGTTTATATTGACAGCAGGAGGGAAAAAATTTTCTCCTTCAAAATAAAGTGTATTTACCTAATATATATGTATCAACGTATATGCAGTTGTTAAGTCCAATCCTCATTTTTTACATATCGTGTCAATTGAATTGAATTTTTTATTTCGCTCTAATTAACTTTCCTACATTTCCTATTCAAAGAAAAATTGATTTCCATGTTTTCAGTCAATTCTTAACTATATCAGAAGACATTGTGCATTTGTTGTGTTCAATTTGTACTTAAATTACTAGGAGTATCAGATTCATCAACATCGACTGAAATCTCATAGCTTCATAGCATACTTGCATTAAGTGCACACGTAATTTTCGGAAATGCAATACAAACATTTTAATGAATTCGAGCATTACGCAACTATTAAAATTTTTTATTTAAATAAGGATATTATACCTACCAAAGTACTATGTCGAAAGTGTTTATTATGAATTTATTTAGTCATTTATGCATGTATGTCTTTCTGGAAACTGAATGCCAATTAACAATTTAATAATACAATTTTTGAAAAATTAAATCGATTTATTAATTTTAAACCTACTTAGTTGTGTAGTTTTTAGCCTAAATTATACATATTTCGCCTCATTGTTTTATCGTGCTTCCTTTAATTATGTATTATTTTAAAATTAGATATGTTAATTGTTTATTTCCTGCTTCTAATTATCCGAAAAGTTCATTAACAAAGTCACACATTTAAATTTTAAAAGAGCAAATTTTTAACAAATTTCGTAATTAAAAAACTTGACAAAAGCGAATCCACATAATTACGATAATTTAACAGGATTATAACGTATATGGTGAAGACGAGCAACCTTTACACCGCGGCGTTAACCCCAACCCGTTCCTAATGAATCAAAAGTTATTCATTAAAAAAACATAACCCGTCCACGCATGAGACACATAATTACACATTGCCTAATACTTCACCTCGCCAAAGCCAGGTCCTCATTGGCCCACCGCCCGCAGGGCAGCCATCATCCACACTCTCGCCTTCCATTGGTGGCGTTCCCTAGGCCCCTCCCACCCAGTTCCCGAGACCGAATCTTATCTATTACACTCACATTCGAACACGAGTAGTGTCAGTTCGTGCGACGTATAGTGATCGCGAAGACCTCCCGGTGATGGTATCTTACTACAATAGTAGCAACATGTACCGCCACCAGCAAGCCGTCGCCGCACCACCGGCCAACGCGCATTCCTGGTACGGTTACCATCAGGGCGCCCAGATGGGCGCCGAGCAGCAAATGTGGGAACCTCAAATGTGGCACCATCACGGCCACGTCCCGACGCATTCCGTATTCAACAATGGGGAGTTTTCGGAGTTCGTGCACTCGGGGATGGTGCACAACGAAGGTCACCACAACCAGCTGATGCCGTCGCCGACGATCACGGTTTCCGGGAGTGAACTGTCGAGTCCGGGAGCCGGAAACGGGAGTATTTCGCCTCAGAACCACCACCAGACCCAAGTGCCGAGGCCACCGCCGGCGAGGAGTCCCTTCGAGTGGGTGAAACGGACGAGTTATCAGAGTCAGCCCAATCCTGGTAAGTGATGATTTGTCGATGGTTGTGTTTAAGTGAAGGTTGCGGCGGGTACAGTGTGCATTTCATGTGACATTTCAAAACAGTGGTACATTGTGTTTCGTACTCTATTTCCCAACAAACACAGTTTTCATCATTCGTGAATTTAAATATCTTGACGAAAAATGTTAACTTCTGCGTTATCAGTGGATTATTATTTATAGATACGACCAAAAACATTGAGAGAAAAAGTTGAGAGGTTTTGTATCCGTTGGTGTTTTAGGTTTGGGACGGGGTGGAATATTTTGCTTACGGTTACATGTTACAACAATTATTTACTGTCACTGTGATGTCTTTGAGTACGGAATTAATCGTATTAGCTAATTATTTAAATAGTTAACTGATGGAAGTAAAAATGATCAGTTAATAGTTTTCGAAAATTGGTGTTCGTTATCACGTGCCTACACAGTTGAAGTGTTCTGTAAAAACTGAACAAATAGTGGTGTTATTAAATCCACCAAAACATGATTATACACAGTTGTTAAACTGTAATTTGTCGATCAATAACACTCTAGAATTATTACTTTATTTAAGTACATATCGTGAATTTTAAGTTTTATTAATTACAAAAGAAAACAGAAAAATTGTATAAATATTAAAATTTCCATAAAAAAAGGATGGGTTTACATATACAGGGTCCTGTCACTTTTATCTGTCAATTTCATCTCACGGAAAATTTGGTTAAAACAGTGGACAATTTTTCATAAAATATGTTCATCATAACTGTTGATTTTTGAGATAGTTATTGATGGTAACATCAGAGCTATATCTGTTGGACAAAATTCTTAATAACTAGGAAATTTTACATTTAAAAATGTATTTGTTGCTAAATACATTGTCAAAATGAGATCTATCAGGTTTTTGGTACGGATAAATTTATTATATAAAGGTGTACAATACTTTATAACACTACAAAATGTTTTGTGTATGAGGAAAGTTGAAACTGTTTCTAATTAATGTGATAACTGAATTTACACATTAATTTAATTTTGTAACCAACTGAAACATTTAATAAAATGCTCAGAATTACAATGATGATGATCAAAGGTTTTGTGAATCGGACCACGCGGCGTTGAGAATAACCTAAAGTGTATTCATGCACATCTGAGTAATAGAAACTTTGTTCCTTTCAGGAAAGTAATTTGAGATAAGGTCAGTGCTGCAAACTATCTTTTGGCGGACGCTACTATACAATATCATGTCTTAGGCTATCTGCGTTAATGTATACCTATATCTTTAATCTCTTTTTAAATTTTACAGAATGTAGGTATACTCTTTGGAATAAATTTAACAAAATTGATAGTTTTCAGGAAAGCTCGCATAATGTCTGTTAAACAAAAATTTTGACTTATGTTATATTTACAATTTCTGTGTAAAATTTGATTTTTTAGTCTTTTCTACTATACCGTGTATAGTATGACCAGATATATTGTGCGGATTCTGCCTCAGGCGTCTATTGACTTTCACTATTTTTTATGACGGTTTCACCGCCCATCACTGTAAACGTGAGATTAACAGGAGTGTTAACGTACAATTTATCGAAACAAATTTACCAATTTTTATTCACGATCATCCTACGAGTGTTCAAATGACAAGAACGCTGTGATTCATGTGCATAACTTCAGAATCTAATACCTTCATATTCCCATTCTGTGCAACTGTACATGGAAATTGTAAAAAAGTTTTTTGTTTGACATTTTGAATAACCGATGTCCTTTAATCTATTGTTTACAAAAACTCAGATTGCGTCTTATAGCTACTGCGATGGACAACTGCTATTGACAAGAATGACCTTTAGGTATATATCGGGTGTCTAAGTAAAAACTTGCTCAATAGTGTTGTTCATGGTCATTATTTTATTCCACTAAAAAATGTCTCTTCTTTTTGTCATAAGTTTGTCCTATAAAGTCATTTTCATTTCAAGACCAAAAACTAAGCTTTTGCGAGTATACGAGAAAGCAGTTTCTGGCAGTTTCTAGGTATTTTTTAGCCCTCGTAGATGCACTATTATCTATTAAAAATTAAATATGTAATTTTATTTCTTGGTATAACAGTGATACTAAAAATTGGGAAAGAGTCAATGCGGACTTTTCTTTACATAGAAACCAATGAAATTGTTAGGTGTCATTTTCTACGGTTTAGGCGGAAAACACATTATCTTTTTATTTTTTTATGTAATTTCTCAGTGCTTGAGTTTACACGGCACTGTACTTCTTCAGAAAAAATATCACCATTATTTTATTTTCCTTCGTTTCGAACATCGATTTTTTGTCTTCTTCAATTATTTAGCTGAAAATAACTTGTGTTTTTGTCAGAAATTTCAAAAATTCATCCTCACAAATATATTTTTATTAAATTTTGTTTAACTGATTGATGACGTTATTGCTGTGTTTTAAATTTACTTATACAGATTTTATAACAAAAATGATCGTTCCGGTTCTCTCTCTTGAGTTATTGCATCTATTGTTCATTTTTGTAATTTGCACAATCATCATACTCAAGATAAATTTTTGTATATTCTTTATTTATCCGTTTCCGTCTGCCTCTAGTTTCGTGGAGACATGTAGGTACATACCACATCATCAGGCCTCTCAATAGGTATATCTTATTTATTGGCATTTTGTTGAACAATTTAAAATTTAAACATTGAAGTAGGAATTAAGTTTAGATCATCAGATTTTACCTATTAGCATATTTTACCGATTTGTTTTAACAATTTTCTTAGAAAAAGCTTTTTCAGTTGTCTGAAATTTTGGGACTTTATTTAGTGTCACATTGGAAGTACAAATCAAAACTGGCACATGTATAGAGAAATCTATCATGCGAGGCATGTGGCATTAGTCGAAGGAAATTATTTGCAAATTTTTAAAACTGTTTATCAAACTTTTTACACCATGATGTTATTTATAGTTCCAGCTTTACTTTGACAATATAATGCAATACAAAAGTATGTAATAATAAAAACTACTTCATATTATACCAAAAATTGGTCTCTGGAAAAAATTTCCCTTGCCTATGAAGTACAGACCAACACATGGACAAATTTTGATTAACGATTTACCATGCTTACGATAACCTTAAAACGTTTGTAAGAGTTCAGAGCATTAGGTCTTTTAAACAATTCAAGACGAATTCATGAGCCATAGTACATGTACCAATATGTTATTTTATATAATTTAAATACTATTTTGAGGTGATGTGATCACGTAGTGGCGATGATTAGATACATTTTGTGCAGCGTTTGCCATCTACACGATATTCTTAAAATATTTTTAAAATTTGACAACGATCGGTTGAGTACTAATCTATGAACTGTCTGATGCCTAATGGAGATCGAGACAGACGGCAGGCGACAGATAGACGAAAACGGGAGGCTTAGTGTTTCATAGTGTAGAGATCGTGAAATGTCGAAAAAACATGAAAGGAGGCATTCGTCGGATGGACCTATTACAATTCCTTCTTAGCTTGCGCTAAAAAATAATAAGTACATTAAAATTTAAATTAATTAAATTGATTCTGAGAGTTTGACTGGTCGATCGCTTTAGTCTTGGTATAATTAAGTTAAGGAGCTTTTGTAAATTGGGTTTAAATATTTTAAACATACTATTTTTATTCTTGTTTGGTATAAACTCGTAAACACGTGCCGTGATGTAAACCTTATTTGACTGTAAAATAACGAGGCAATAGTTTAAGTCAAATACCTGGCACAAGTTAGGTTAGTTTTTATAGTTGTAATAAGATTCATCGGACGAATGTTTTCATGTTTTCTCGAAGTTTCATGATGCCTAGAGTACCAAAAAATAAGTCTCCCGTTTCCGCCTATATGTCTGTGTCGATTTTTATTAGGCAGATAATCTGCAAAACTATTGGATCAATTGTTGTCAAATTTGAATGTTAGGAATATCATGTCTGTGTTAAAACACTAACCAAAATTTGTTTAACCGTCCCTACCAACACTTTGATGGGGCCACCTCAAAATTGTGTATAATAACTGTAATGTAAATTCTATAAAATTACGTACTTCTGTACTTGTCGTTTATGAATCCGCTTTAGAGTTTTTCGTTTAGATATCCAGATTTTCGTAAAAAAAAACAAATATTTATTTCTATAACATTTTATTTTTTTAAAGTTATTGGAATCGTGAACAGGTAAAAATGAAGATGGTGAATGTTATATTGCACAATCTTATTCTTAAAAGTAATTGCTTTTTGTTAGAATGCCAATCATTTCTTTTATTATGTATAATTTGCACAAATATCTTCGTAATTATTTCTTCAGTACCTAAGTAATAAAACAATTTTGTTGCCACACAATCGACAAAATTAAGGAAACACTTTTCAAAAATTGAACAACTGGTAGAAAACTTTCAGAACTTTCTATAGGGACATTAGTGTAAGTAAATGGAATTAATGATACACCAACCTTACAGTAATAATAATTATTGAATTAATAAGTGGTATTTTTAGTTGTATACCGGGGAAAGCGGTGCTACATTTTTTATTATCCAGAGTGTTAATAACGAATGGTATTTAAACACTTACCTATGTTTTATAGTTGAAAAAGAATATTTTCAGAATTCATCGCTCTGTTGCTTAAAAGTTTTCATTACAAGGTACTATCGCAAGCAAAAGTATTATCAGTATCCAGCAGCGAAAGGCATTAGTCTTCTCGGCCTTCTCCATGGAGGTTTCCATAATCCCATCATAAATGCTTAGAATAAAGTAGACAAGAACCAAAACTTCCTGATTGGATTAGTGAAAGTTTTGAGTTCGAAACAAGAACTTTCTAAAATTAGTACCTATATTTTAAACTGCACAACAAACAAAAACTATTCTAAGGCTATTTAGACACAATTTCCTTCCACCCTGAAATACAGTCAAGAAATTATAAAATTTAATTTTGCGAATTTATTTTTTTTTGTGATAGCCCCTACAAGTTAAAATTAAAAGTATGTGTAGACCTGGACTGTTAAAGTAACAACATTTTGTGATGACGTTATCAACATTTATGAAGGACACATATATTAATTTCAATAGACGCAGTGTAGTACAATAACAGTGCTGTACTCAAATTTTTGAGAAAACGGATTGAGCCGTCTTTGATTTGATTTTAATTCTTTAAAATAACTTTCCACCGGGGTTAATTCTTAGAAAGCAATTTTTATTTATACAATACCTTGGTAAGAATTCGTTCAATTTTTGAAACAATTAGAACAATCAAGAAAACCGTGTGATTTTTAAGGTATCAAGTAATTTTTTTCGCTAATCAAAACGACATCTAATGGAACGTAGTTTTGATAACGTAACAAATTTAAAAGTTCTGTACATTTGAGAAGTGAACATACTTTTACTAGAACTTCTTAGTTATTTTTAGCCATACATATAATTTAGCATTAAAATTGTACTCTAGATCTTGTGAATCACCCTGGATAATTGACGTATTCTGTTGTATGAGTCCAATAGTTTCGGTATTAATGGATACTTATTTCCATACATTAAACGTCTGATAACATAGATTAGTTTGTGATTTTTGGTCACATTCGTATTGTTGCAGTTCAAGAGAAATGATAGCTAAAAAATTTTCATTCCCCCACATCACCATCCGTGTATTTGTTTAATACTTAGTTCATTCACTTTGATAGAGAGAATAACGAATAGGTAACGTTTTGTCAAATACCTATCTGTTAGAGCTTATAGTTGACGTGGAATTTGTAGTTCAACTGGTACTCAATTTGCAATTCATTTGCGATGAAACACAAGCTTATGAGTTAAATCAATCATAAAATAACAAATATTGTTCATTTTTTAAATTTAAATGAAATTTTAGTTTATTACAACACAAGTTTTGACACACATTTTACAAATGGGAAGAACACTTGATTCATGGCTTGATTCATCAGTTTCTACTTAATCCAGTTTATCTAATTATTTATTGTTTCTTAGAATTTTCAACGTGTGTTAATTTTAATCAGGAGCAAGAAATTAGAAGATTTTTATTGTAAAATATTATTCATCATTGCATTTGTCATAATTTTATTTTATAAATTATTTTTGTACAAAGATATACAAGTAATTTCCCTTAAACCTACAGGTTCTATTTACTTGGCTTTTCGCTTCTGCTTCACGATATACGGAAAAGATATTTATATTTTAGTTTGCATTCACATTCACTTCTTTGCTTTGAACACAGTTCTTGTAGGTGAAAATTTTTTCTCCAAACAAATCGAACGGCTGTTTAAATTTCCGGATGCACTTAGCACACTTCTTATCAATATTAACATGCGCCATTAAAACGTTCTAAATTGACCACATGTCATCAAAACGAACGCATTACATAAACATTTTGAAAGCATGTGGTAGGTGGTGTTATTAATTAATTTATCTGATGCAATTAACGCAGTGGAAAAACATTCACGTTAAATAATGAAATGTTGCTTATAGCCAACACGACGTGGTTTAGTGCCATTTTTTTACAAGACGGGTTGCACTTTTATAAGATATGTAAATCGCCTTGCAACACTTAACGCACATCAGTTGTGGCTATCGGCGTCGTGTTTTCCTCAGTGTTTATTTTTCTATTAATTTATTAGTTTATGAACTTCCAGCAATTAAACCTCTAATTGCTTTATTATGTATGGTATATAAACTCGTAAATCATATTTCTAGTCTATACCTCTGTTCCGTGTCGTTTATCCAAATTTGTCCGTCTAAAATTGCTTTTCTATTTGTTCTAGAGCTTGAAAGACGTCAAAGCTCCGAATCTGTTCCGGTCGATAGTCCCGAGCCCCAAGACGGAATCGGTACGCTTTTTTCTCTTATACCTATCTACCAAAGTAAATTATTCTCAATTTCGAAAAAGTTCCTCTTCCTCTCTTTGTTATGCTTTAATCTTCCCCTTTATCTTTTGCATGTCCGCCGTGATGTTTTTACGATAATGTCGTAATTCTTTTGTGATTATAACGTTACACACACATGACTAATTTCACAATTATGCATGTTTCTGTCCCATTTTAATTAGAAAGGACCGCGTTTCACAATTTAATTGATTTTTGTTGACTGCAATTACCAAAGCCTGTCTTATTTACGAATAAATTAACATGTTGATGGCCTCCAATTCGATATTCATTAATCTGACAGGTGCATCTCGCGTCGCCATATTTTAGTCCGCTTTAATGGCCGCTCGACCAATGGGAATTTTTTATCTGGGCAGGAATCTAACCATTAAATTAATTCGAGAGGGAATACCGGACGAAATAGTTTCGTTTAGCATCGAATGTGAGCGGCGAGCTGCGTTTTTTACCTGTTTATTGCGCCATTTTGAGGAGCGGGCACGCCAGTTTCGTCTGTGGCTTGATTTAAGTTCTTATTAAAGTTTTATGTTCACCAAAAGATCGTAAAGTTCTTCATAAAACTCCATGATTGTTTTACAACCCCTTGGTTTTATTTTTCTTGGCATATTCATCATGTGGTTTTATTTTGTTTTTTAGACCGTAAATTTTCCCGTTCGGACGGTAGACGCCATGAATGGCAGGTATGGACGCATAAAATTGGTCCTGAGCCGCTTTGCTTTTGCTTGGAAACAAATAATTCCCGTCTTTTTAAGCTCGGTAGGTCAATGACCGAAACTGCAAGCGTTTGAACAGTCACAATATTCAAATTTTAGTCGAGGGTGACGCCTTTCTGACAAGATCATTCAGGTTTTGGAATGACGGTCCTTTTGGAGGGATTTCCAAATCCCTCTAAAGTATGCCGAAGCTTTAGTGTACAATGGACCCTAATAAAATAAATACTATTTACCTACTTATAACGGTCTGGACGGCGACAATGTGGTGCTTTAGGATTGAAGATACGTGGAGCCAAGTTTTGGTTTTACTTGAAATTTACCTGCTTTTAACGCTGCAGAAAGTTGAAACGAGAAGTGGGTACAATGAACTATGATTCACTGTAATACCTCATTTTTGTTTTATTTTTCAAAGATAGAAATATGAAATGTGGAATTTCAAAGTGCTTAAAAATGTTTTGAAAAAAAATCGTAAGCAGTTCGTGGAGGATTATTGACATTTTTTAATTCTTGTATAGTTTTTACATTAGTTTTGTAAAGCTGTTAACAAATAAGAAACAAATTACCTATTGATGTTTTTAGAAGCATCATTCAGAAAATTTAATATCATCGTGTAAATTTGGCAGCTGGTTTTGCAAAAAAAATAAAGCAAAGTCGGGCATGGACTGTATTCTTGTTAAGTTTGTTTAAATTTCAAAACCATTTTATTAAACAAAATGACCCTCAAAATCAACTGATGAAGAAATTATAAAAGTTTATTCTGCAAATACTACTCGTATTTCGTTTAGGATATAAGTACCTCATAAAAATTACATAGACCCCATTTTACAAGAGGCTGATCTTGGTTTAAGAACCAGACTGGTTCAAGAGACACTGTAGCAAAGAAAATTAACAAAATTTTGTTAATCTTCTTTGACTAAATAGCTGCATCTAACAACAATAGGATTCACCGCATCTCCACCCCATTATCAGCAGCTCAATATTATCATAAAACCTGTTTAACTCATCTGAGAAACTGGATTTGTTTAAGGTGATTATACTTCAGAGAAAAAGAAAATTTAAAACGTGTTTCAAATATTTGAAAAACTAAGGCCAAAACAAGTAAACAAATGATTTATTCTTCCGCCAGTTAAAAAGATCCTCTCTAAGAATTAATAGTAAAATAACAATTGGCTGCACTTATTACTGACAAAACTAGTTAATTGATGTGTTCTACATGCACAGAGTGATCAAAAAGATGACGGATAAGCTCAATGGTACGTTGTTAAGAAGGCTAAAAACAAGTCGAAAAAAAATGGTTAAAAAAATCCCTGCACCAAACTTTTGAAAATATTAAACTTAAAAAATGAAAAATTAACTTCGAATTTTTGATTTGTTTCAATAAGTTGCATGTCTAATAGACAGTAAAATAATTGTTAATAATGTAATAACAATTTGCTAGAACGTCATTTTTGTCAATTTGTATCGGAATTTTAGATTGTCAATTAAATTAATTTACATTAAGATATCTTAGAATTAATTTAACTTTGAAGTTTAATATTTACAAAAATTTTGTTTACGGATTTTCAAGCCTGTTTATCGTGAGCTATAATGACTTTAAATTAGAAAAGATGAAAATATGTTTCTATAGTGTTATTTTTTATACCAATAATAAATAAATTGGTAAAAATATTTGTTTAAAATATTGATACCTACTCGTTTACTTCAAAAAACACTTTTTCTTGTAAAAATTTTATGAGGTTCCCAATTTTTTGGATAGGATACGCTTTCGAAGCTAGAAATAGCCAATACATAAATTGTTTTACACTCTACACAAGTTGGCAACATCGACATCATCACTGTAAAGTAAGACATTCTGAAACCCTATGCCCATCAACTTCTTCATTCTCTGCTCCTCTGCCCACTCCGAACGGCTATTAATCATCCGCGCCACCTCTTATTTAAAACATTAATTCGAAACGGGAGCGCGAGTATTACATAAATTGTCGGTAAAATTAGCAAAAGCTTCCGCACGAATACAGGACGATATAGTTTGGGAAATAACATCGCGACAGTGTAATAGCGTCAATGGACCCCCAGGGAAACATAACCTCAAACGGCAGGGAGTTGCGAATCGACGCTGTGGCAATTATCAGGCGATACGATACAGTCGTCGCCGCCGCCAACTCCATACACACGTACACACTTGTCTCATTTCGATGAATGTGGATGGCTCTGATATGGAGCCAATTTGGGCCATTGTTGGACGTGACAAATTGGCCCCTTTACGTTTGTTAAATGCCGCAACAACTGGTGTTGTAGTGTTATGGGTTAGGGGCGGTGGTGGCATAACAGAAGATTTTTTATTAGGAGAGTGTACCATATGATTGGGAAAAAGTCGCTTAGTAGGCCATGAAATTTAGTTTTAAAATTCCAAATGATGTTGGCATTCCAGTTGTTTGACAGTTATTTGACCGTAATTGTCAAACTGAACCAGGAAAGCGTTAATATTACCAACATAATTATTTTAATATTAAATTTCAAAGCTCGCTATACGACTTTTTTTCTTGATCATATGGTATTATGCAAGAAATAACTTCAGTCGAAGTCATAAAAGCGTTTATCGTAAAACGATTACTTGTATAATGGATATGTAGCACACTGTAGCATCATATAAAATACTAACTGCTGCCTTTTGAATACTATTTTTAAAGTAGTTTAAGCAACAATTAGTTCCATGATCTAAAGTTAGTAGCTAACCAGATTTTTGCCTAATTCCTTACAATAGATTTCTAAATTATTGCAATTAAATGACACATCTGCTATACTTGTAGACCAAATCTTCAAATGGACTATAATCTCTTAATCTCGTAAATATGCAAACAAAATAAACAGGAATTATGACATTACCACTCTCCACTTTTCGTACTTACTTCATATAACATAAAGTGATAATTTTTTGCTGTCAAATCTAATTTCCATTGTTTTCAGTTGTTTGATTTATCTGACAAATTTTTATTAATGAGGGTACAGAAAATCGCTTAATAACCACGATAAATTTTAACAAAATATCTAATCACATTCCGTCTGCGATTTTGTTTGATTTGGTTCTCCACTGTGATTATTTTGAACAATTTGAGGCTTGTCCTAAATTGCTGATGTTGCAACGTTCTGTGAGAAATCCACAGAACGGCTTTCAAAAATATGCCAACGATAGGTAATTGAGCATTACCTAACCATTGTTTAGTATGTAATCTTTGCCCCAAAATTTTTAAATAAGTTAAGGTATAAGGTACCTGATAAATAAAATCGGCAAAAATCTTATAATCATAGCGTAATCCTTCTTTGAGGAAGTAATTCAGAACATGTTCACTGCGTATTCCAGCTATAGGATTCCTATCGCGCTTTTTTCACCCCAAAATAATATTTCTTCTGATTTTAATACAAGAATCACCCAAATTTCGGTCGTTTCGATATGTATTCATTTTCCAAGGTTCCTTAATTCTTAACGGCTGTCATTTATGTGGTCAGTATGTTTGATTGTTTTTGGTCCGTAAATTTAATAAATGGTCAGTATTTTATAGTTTAAAGTAAGTTTGTTTTGGATGAGGTCAGTAGCTTATGATCAGTGAAAATGTGGTCAGTAAAATTTATATTGTCAGTATTTTAAATAGTAAGTAATGTATTAAAGACAAACTAGCAGTATTTTAATTTGTAACGTCTGTAAATTAATTAAAATTGTTTTTTATAATGTAATGTGGCAGTATGTAGTTTCGCGGCAGAAACATAACCTATAAAAGAGTGACGTGAAAGTCAACATGATGTCTCAAAATACTCTTAATAATGTTAATGCTTACACATCCGACGATGAAGCTGCAAGTTCTGTTTCTACACAGAAAGGAGGACAAAAAAAAACGCAGACATAACTGGAATATGGTAACTACCTTTAATGACAAAAAGGCTGCGGTGGATTACAAGAATTTATTACAGTTAAATTTTATTGATACAGAGTTTTTCGTTTATTTGTAAGACAATGATATTTTTCGTTAAATTGCATTTAAAGTATGTTCTTATAAAAATGTATTTACTACCATTAATTTGTTGTTTAATTTTAGTAAAATGAAAAAACTTTCAGAGTTTAAAAAATATATTTGTAGTCACTGCTACACGTGTTTCGGTACACAGTACCGTCTTCAGGCAGAAGATAAACTGGTTTATCTTCTGCCTGAAGACGGTACTGTGTACCGAAACACGTGTAGC